TAGGCCATCAGGAGACACAGGCAAATTTTTCCTGTGAGTACCGAGCTGACTGTAACCCTTTTTCACAGCAGACGAAATTGCTTTTTCTTTTTATTCAAGCATAAGTGACAGTTCAAAAAGTTGTGAAATCATCTATTCACAGGGGGAAATATGACTAGGAATCTTCAAAATCTGGCTCAAGTCTTAAGTCTTCTATAAATAAACGGGTTTTTTTCAAAATGTATCCGTGAACCCTTGTTTTGAAAAAAGCAGTACGAAAATACATTTTTCCGTGTGATTTCAGAGCATCAGTGTAAGAGAGTCCCTTTTGGGTTCAGAAGTGAACCTGACAGCATTTTTCCAGGATTGCATCATATGTTTCACTCACACTTTCACATCCTGCATTAAACCACATGCATGCACGTCAACAAGACAAGATTGTAAAAGGAGTGTGACTGGGGAATTGTTTTCATGATATTTGAGAGGAGTAATTGCGGCCACTGCTGTTTCAAAGCAACTGCGGTTATACTATACTATGTCAACAAAAGTCAGTTCTGCCATATGGAAACCTAATTACTTCAGAATGATCTGTTAGAAAGCACTTTTGAAATAGTCAGGCCATTTATACAAATCAGTAAAAAGTATTTGTGCACGAAACCTTTCTTAAATAAGAGCTTTCATTTGGACGTTACAGCGGCCGTTTTGGAAATATTAAAAAAAAAAGTGGACTTCTATTTAAAAGGTGGTAGGAAAATTCATTGGGTGATAAGAAAATATGAGTATTTCCCTATGATTTGTATGATAAACCTGGTGGTGCTATTATTGAACAGAAAAGAGGGTAGGGTTTTTTTTGCTGTTCTCTTCAGCAAGACCCTAATATTGTGGGAAATGGGACCAAATTTAGAGTGTTGCATTTTAGTGAGATCATGTGATACCATGGATATTTGTGTGTGTAGTATTTGCTCCAGAAAATTACTTAAAGCTTTTTTTTTTTTTTTTTTTTTTGTCCTTCAGTAATGTAGGGGGTTTTCCCTTCTGTGTCCCAGGGTATGTCTTTTTTTTTACATTTGAGTGTTTGTCACTTCTGAGTTGTTTAGGACATCTGATAATCAAACATTTTTCCTGTCACTATAAAATTAGAGAACATCACAAATCTGCTTAGTTAACTGTGGTGTTCTGTACCACACTCTTACTACCAAAAAAGTACTTCTAAAAGACACTGTAATCCTTAAAATTGTAAAAGAAATGTTACAAGTTCCATGAATGTCTAAACTTCATAGTGAAACTGAGTTAACCAGCTGTGTTTAAAGTCTATCTTAGTTGTCAAGGTATAGAAACATAATTTGTGGATAGTCTGTTAGGTGCATGAAATTTCAGATGATTTCTGGCACATAAACCATCTGTTCTGAATTGGTCTTCTTGAAAGAAATTCTATATTCAGTCATGGCGATATACCTAAATCAGAAGATATAAAATATTTAGAACCAGATGGATTAATGTGTTATTAGGACTGGGGAGCAGCAGTAACCCAGAGGGAAAATAGGGGTTTCTGCATTCCTGCCAGGCATTGCAAGGCCTTCCCAATGGCTCCAAAAAAGAAAGGCAGTGCAGGTTCTCCTGGCTACCTCCTCACTTCTAGCTACCTGTGTACTGCTGAAGGAGTCTGGGCCAAGGAGCAGCTCCTGATCTCCTGGACCAGTGCTGGGGGCTTCTTTGTGCCCAGTGGGCCCAGGGCCAAGGAGAGCAGATGGGTTGTGCCCATCCCGAGTCCAAGTCTGCTCTGATTGCCAGATGGCAGCCACCGGTCTTGTAGCACAGTAATTTTTGGTTGTTGTTGCTTGGCTTGGGTTGAGGGCTTTTTTGTTGTTGTTGTTCAGATGTTCTGAAATAATGAGTGGTTTATCACAGACTTCCAGAACAGTGTTTAATACCCTTAGCAGGACATGAAAGAATATAGGCTGTTTATCAGGGATTGTGGCAGTTTAAAGGCATAGAACCATTTGGAGTTGGAGAAGTGAGTGGAAGCAAACCAACCCAGTATGATTCACCTGTAATCCCCTTCTGAGCTGTTCTTGGCATTAGAAACAGCTTTTTTCTCAGAGAAGACTTGCTAGTTTTCTGCAAAGGCAAGGCTGAGAGCAAAGTAACACATGGACACTGTGGAAAATCCAGAGATGAGAACTGAAGAGAGAACTGGGAGGTGACATGATCTGACACTGCAGATCTGCTCTCACATGTAAAGTAAACGTAGCCTTATTTCCTTTCCAAGCTCTCTGAAATACCTTATGCACAGGTCTGCAAGTGCCAGGAATACTGGAGCTGGCTTCTTGTAATCTTCTTCCTGTCGCAGTGCTGTTAATCCAGGATTTGTACTTTGGAATTTTTGATTGATTATGTCCAATTTAAAGAGTATAGTTGTGCCAGATATAATTTGTTTGGTCCCCTTGACCTGTTTAATACTCAGTTGGTTCAACATCCACTTCAGATAATCTGGTCCAAGCAGGGACGATATCAGAAAAGAAGTTTGTTCTGTTTGATTTTTCATGTTGTTAAACCAGTTTAGAGCTGCTGGTCATTTGATTCTGTGAGAATCAAATGTGTTGTAGGTACAGTGGATGTTTTATGTAACTAGATTGAGATACAGTGCTGTGAAATGGCACCTCTTTGAATCTACTGACAATTTGGGGTTAATTATAAACCAGCTGTGTATTTCTGAAGGCACTGATTCCACTGAGACACTAAAATCCACACAATGGTTGCTGTCAGGACTGCACCATTGCCAGTGAGGGCTGCCACTGCCTGTTCTGGGGTCACCCTTGGCTCCTGGTTTATTTTCCCTCATGGCACAGCCCAACTCCTGCTGCTCTCCACTCCTTTTCCATCTTGCTTTGTGCCAGTCAAACATCCCTGCCCTCAGTGCCTGTTCATCTTCTGGACTGGAGGAGGTAAGGCCAGCTTAGACCTCTCGGAAATTATTTTGAAGAAGGAACTTCTTTAAGTTTTCTTAAATGTTTTGTGTAAGATTTAGTAGAAAATCATCAAACAGAAGTCTTGTTTTGACAGCTTTCCTCTGAATGCAGGCTGGACTAGTTGACCTTCCTCCAACAGCCTGCCAGAGACTTTTATGTGACTCCTTTTAAAAGAAGTGGGTGCTCTTTTAAGGGTATTAGACTTGTCCAATTAAAATCTCCTGGGGAAGGATATAGGGGCAGACAGAGACAGACAAATGCTACATTACTTCTTCATAAAGACTGAGTCAACAAAATGAAATTCAACGTGTGAAGCAGTCTGTAGAGTTTAATAAGAATTTGCCTCAGGATACAGATATTCATTGTTTCTTTGAAGAAATTAGTGTGATGTGAAAAGGGTGCTAGTCTAGAAATGTGCCTAGTGCTAACAGCTTTTTATTAGGGTTTTTTGTTTTTGAAAAGAAAATCTCTGTTCTATGAGGAACTGAGCATTTGTCCCCCCTTTTTTTTTCTTTTTTTCCCCCAGAAGAACGGAAAGGGGGTAAAAATAATGTTTAAAAACTTCATTGTGCTCTAATCTGTAAGGTTTTTCCATATCTAGAGCCCCTTGAAAGAATTCAGGTTTCATAGTTTTTTATTTATTCTGGATTAGTGAATAACTGGTTTTACTTCCCTGCTTTCTTCCTCCTTCCCCTCCCTTGTTCCAGGATGGTCTAGGAGGCAATATGGTGTCTGTGACACAAGGTTTACTTGGGTTTTTCTTTAAAATATCATTTAAAACTGGTCAGTGTTTTATAATACCTTATAGAAAGGTATTTATATCTCCTTGCAAATATTTTGAACCGTAGGCATAATTTTTGACATGCAAGGAAGTGTAAATAATTTAATTGGAGTAAGAATCATGGGGGAATGACAGTTAGGTGGTGATTCGAGGAAGAGTTCTAAATACATAGATCTGTAAGACATGTTTATATATCTGAGACAATTTGTAAGTTCCCATTGACGTATCAATAAAATAAGTAGAATGGTGTTTATCCCTGCAGTTGTTTTATTTGCAGTTTATTTGGTTGGTTAAGTAAATAGTGGTGAGTAGCTCTGTTCATGTAGAGGTATTCTGCCATTACATCGTTGCTGTATCTAATATAATATATAAATTCCTTCTATGCTGTCTTTAAATACTGACATTATTATGCTACTAAAAGCTATTTAAAGAGAAGCCTACTCCTGTGTCTTTTTTTTGTTTTCCCCTCTCCACATTTCCAGTAATTTTTTTTTTTTTGGACTGTTAAGGACAGAAATTTGGAAGCAGACCTAGGAACAAGCATTTTGCCATGAATTACAGTTACTTTTTATTTGATGGAAAGAAATGTTAAGTGAGAACTAAGTGCTACAATCTTCTTTGTGTATGTCTCAATAAAGGTACCATTATGAGCAAAATGATTGCTGTGGTAATTACTCTGGTTCAGATATTGATGCTGTATCAGTTGCATCCTCTCTGATATCAAACTACTCTGGTGCAGTGAGAGCCTGTGTTAGCTAGACCTTGACCTTGGAGCTGCTAAATTTACATTTCTGTGTCGTGCACAGGGGGCTTGTGTGTGTTGTTAGGATGGAGACAGACTTATTTATTTGCTCTAATTCCCTCCTAACTCAGAAGTGAAACCACTTCACCCTTAATTGTGCAAAAGTTCAGTTTAAAGTCTGTCTTTATGAATTTTTTATTTTTTTTTTTTTTTTAAATTCGTTGAACTGGACCAAACAGTAAATCCCAAGACTGTAGCTTCTAATATTCCTAAGAAGTAACTCATATTGGTTCAACTCTCAGCTTCACATTGCGTGGACTATAATGATGCTTTTTGGAAAGATCTTGTGGTTGAGAACTTGGTGCTGTTAAATTCCCTTCTCAGGCTGCTTTGATTGGAATTCTTTAATGGCCAAGGCAATACAGTGGTGAGAGTCCCCCATCTATGCAAAAACTGCATGTTGATTTCATAATACTTAAGTATTATGCCATGTACAATTTATGTAAATAGAGAATTTTCTATTTTTCAGACTTTACCAGTTCGGAAGATTCCATGCAAAGCCAATGCTCCTTCAGGGTCTTTTTTTGCACGGGACAACACAGCAAATTTCTTATCCTGGTGCAGAGATGTAGGCGTGGATGATACCTGCCTGTTTGAATCAGAAGGTTTGGGTATGTATTTCTTTAGGTAGTAGTAAGTTAAAATAATGGTTTTTTTCTGTTTTACCTTGAAAGACAGAATGGCTCTTAATAGATCTTGACTCCAAATCTGACCTCTGTCTGTGTTAATTCTGCCTCTTATCTGTGGAATGAACAAATAAAGTACACATCACATAAAATTCATTTAAGTCTATTTTAAGAGGAACTTAAATGAGAGAAGAATCATACTATGATTTCTTGCATGCAGGTAATTTTTCACTCTGCACATAATTTTTTTTTCAAGCATGAAGGCTGCTTCTTAGTTCAGTGTATAAGGTGGTGTTTTTCTGCTTTGGGAGAGCAGGATACAAGTGCATGCTCAGTTCTGGCTGCAGAAATTTGGCTATTTGTGCAGATTTAACGAGTTGCACAGGAGGCAAGAAGATACAAAATTTTTCTTTCCTGTGCTGCCCGTTTTTTTTCCAGCTGGTTCCCTTGTGCAGCTCTGGACAAAACTTACCCAACACTCGTGCTTCAGGGTGTTCCATCAGAAGAATCAGACTGCTTAGGAAATCACTGTTCTAATACTGCATATTCTTCCTCGGTTTAACTCTTCTCTCTTCAAAGGAAAGCTTAGGAATCTTGCCTCAAGAGTTTTTCAGCCAAATCTCATGAAATGAAGGGAGTCAAATGTTTGTAGTTTGAACTCAGATAAAAGTGTAAAGCAGTTGTGGTGACAGATTGGTTTCTGTGGAAGACAAATGAACACACTGTACTGAATCAAGAAGTTTCTTTGTTCTGTTGCTCAAAAAGTCTGCCCTGTTGAAGGTCTTATATGTGTTGTAACTGATCTATTCCCATTCTTTTACACTCTTGCTCTACTTTTATAGTCTGTTAAATATTTCTGAGGCAATCTTTTTTTTTCCTTTTGTCTGTTCTTCTATCCTGTGAGGTTTTATAATGACATTATTTTTTAAGCCTGGGAGAAAATGATTGGCATGGAAGTGAGTGGTATCACAAAGGTGACAAATAGTAAGGAGGATATATGTATTGACTTTGTTTTGTTATTTGATTCCTCAAGATGAACTTTTTATTTGATATGGTAAAATCATGTGGAAGACGACCAATAATTGTAGTTTCCATGATTTGAAGTGGTGGAGAAGTTGGTCATTGTCTAGTAGGAAGAAACTTGTAAACACCAGGAGGAGACACAGACCTCCAATGCCTGAGGCAGGCAGAAGAACCTGTGGTTAATGGAATACTAAATGTATTTAGAGTTTGTACTGCTATGGTAAGCCCATCAATTTGCCATTGTTCAAGTAGTAAGTCAGTTGAGAGCACGTTTAAAGGAATTTTCTTGTGCACTGCTAAGAAGCTGGATCTTGTTTAGAGATGGAATTGCCATAGCTGGAATATTAATGTTAATTTTTCCACGTACACAGTGAATGCCTTGCCTGCCACAGCACAACACAGTGCAAATACACCTGGAAAGCTGGTGTTCAAGAGGGCTTCCTCTCACAGAAAACTGAAGTGAAATGTGCCTGAACACATAGTGCTCAACCTGTGCCCTATTAGCTCTGTTTGATTAGTGACTGATTTTCTTCACTGACTGAAAATTAACATCCGTTTTCCTTCTCTTCTTATAGAATGCACTAGCAGAAAAGATTTATGGTGTGGGAAATAGGATTAGGACTTGATAATATTTTGACCCATTTTTATGGATTTCAGAAGGAGATGGTGACCACACCATTTTAAAAAATAAAGAAGATAGATAAAACCAGTAGCTGCTGTTCTCCCTCAGTTTGAGCTCTAACTCAGAGTTTGAATTTCATTTGAGGTTTTTCTAATGCATTAGGAAGAATGATAAATCATAACAGTTGCCAGTCTAAAGCTTCTGTGTTCCTCTCTCTCCCACAAATCCCTTCACCACTGCATAGGAAATAAAAATTCAGCAAAGGTAAGTAATACCAAGGGTTCTTTTCAAAGCAGTGAGAAACATGGGAATGACACCAAAGTGTTTGCACTGCCTCATTGAATTCTGCCTTTTGGATAATAAAAAATTGTGGCAAAATTATGGTTGCAGAGGTAACTCTTTTTTCATGTTTTCTTCTGTTTTTCCCTGTAGCTATTAAGCTGTAAATTGATGTATAAATTGCTAGTGATAAAGCAGCTGTTTTCTGCCTACTTTGGAGAACCTTACTTATTGTCAATGTTATCAACTGAGTAGATTTTTATCCTCGTTTCTTACTCTATTCTCTCTGTCTTAAGGTATGTAAATACTGTATTATTTAATTAGATGCACATAGTGATATTTTCTTCATGCCACTTTATAATATAAAACCTTCCTGGAGTCTTTTTTTCTGGCAAATAGGTATTCTGACAGTGTAAGAGCGATTTTGAAGATTTAGTGCACTGAAATATTTGAATGATGGATTTGTGACACTACTGATTTATTAAAAAAAAAGAAGTGCCAAGTCTGTTAGAGATCAGCAAAATAGGATCTGTATTAGCTAAGAAATTATTAATTCCTATTGGTTTTCACTAATTAAAAATATGTTCTCATAAAGATGAGTTCTGAGGTGTTTGAAATCATGCAAATATAACTGCACACAAATGCATCCAGCACTCCCATCCTTTTAGCCCTGAGATTGAAGTGACAAGGAGGTGACAAGTGACAAGTTCCTCACTGGAATGGAACTGTGTCAAACAGCCACTGCAGCAGATAGGGGCAGTCCATGCCTGACAAACGTGCACATGAGTGATGTGGGTGGGAATCTCAAGTATTCCTAGAGGCTTTCTTCTGCAAAGGGTTGGTGTTCTAGGGCTGCTCCAGACAGGCGGGTGGGGAGACCTACTCATGTCACTTCACTTGTGGAGTAATTTAGTAACTTAGGCACTTATTTCAAATTAAGCAATGGGTTCAAATGCTTTGTTGGATTTGGGCTATTCAGCTGAGCTAAACAAGAAAACAGGATTGAAGTCTTTCTTCAAAATAAATAGAAGGAAAAATAAATAGAATGAAAAATAGGTGCTTGCTATGCTGGTAGATATTATTAGGTCTTCTAATCAGTACTTACTTTAAAGATCATTGAAAGAGAACATTGCTGAGCTCAAAAGTTTGAAGACAATGCACTTGCACTACTAACTTGTTAGTAGTCTATAATATATGTATTTTTTCTTGCTGAATGTTACCATGCTTTAACATAGGTTAAAGTGCAAACAAATTGGAAATACAGTTTTCTGTTAAGGCATAGCAGGAAAGTCTCTGAGTTAATGCCTTTGCAAAGAAGAGATAGGTAGTGTGTACCTGTTTTATGAGCTGCAGAAAAGACACAAGCATCTGTAAAAATCACAGCAACACAGTATGAAAGGATAATCCTGAATGCTGCAAAAGAGGGGGAGTCTCTGCATGCTCCCTGTACTCACTGACCAATTTAGCATGCTTATCATATTTTTTTTTATTTTTATAGTTAGTGTATTTAAAGAAGAAGGAATTAGCTTTGTTAATACCAAAAAATATGATCCAAAGTCCAAACTTTGATCATCTGGGCAACTCTTGAGATATGGTGTCACTGAATGGGGTTCTTAATGTCACAGAGGTCAAAATTTGTCCCATATGTAGGACTCTGAACAGGATGCACTAACTCTTTGTAATACTGCCTGCTCTATTCCCATTGTAAGTATACTTTGTAAGTTCCCCTGTATAGTTTTTAGGGCAGCAGACCCACACAGCTATGGTAATTTTATTTATGAAAGCATTCTAGGTGGAGATATTTGTAATGGTTGTGCTCAAGCCTGAAGAGTGTAATGCTCGAAGAAAACTGCTTGGACAAATAGTAAGAATGGTAAGATTTTCTATGATTGCTTTAGTTAAGTGAACTCAAAGCATAAGTTCTGAACTCTCTGTGGTAATGGAGTGTTGTTGGATGATTATAGGAGTTGGAACCAGTGGCTATTCTGCATCTCTTCCATGATAGAGTCTACCCGGCAAGAAAAGGGTTTGCCACCAAGTGTGCCAGCATGCTGATGTGTGTCATTTGTTTGGGGAGTTGTTGGATGCTGTTGGTGTGTTAATGTTTTGTGCTTGTATATTCTGTAACTATGTGTGTGTACACACAATATGTGACATGGACTTCTTTTGATGCAACTAGAATTTAATGGGCAGGTTCCCTAAACAAAAGCTTTTAGCGTTTTAGTGGAAATAATAGACATAAACACCTCTGATCTCTCTTCTAATGTTGCTGGTTTAAAGCTTTTTTTTTTTTTAAATAATTACTACTCTAGTTTATCTAATTTCATGCGAGAGGGAATTGTTTTGACTGTTCTTCTACACTGATGCATTTAGATATTGTAACAGCATGTAAAAATTCACATGAAGTTGCATCAGAATAAGGTTTTGTCCCATCTTTCACAACACTTTACTAAACCACTCATAATATTATTGAATATGTCTCATTTTGAGGACTATAGAAGCATCCTGGACACTGTGTTGTTACCATTGCATTTACATCTTAAATTAATGAATTCCGGTAAATTATTAGTGCTTAGATGATCTCTATATTCCTTGTAGATAATTCCTTACTATCTTTAGATCTCCTCCTGTGTTTGACACCTTAAATGGTTTTAGACTTCCATAAGTGATTGTGCTGAAAGGGGATGAGGGGGAGACACAAGTGTGTCATAGCATAACTGATTCAGAAGCAAGGATATGTTTGGGGTAGGTTGGACAGAGTGCTTTGAACAAAGCAAAGTTAAAAAAAGCAAAGTTAAAACAAACAAACAAACAGAGAAGACTGCTGTAGGATCAGAAAAAAAAGTTTTAAAGGAGAAGGTGAGAGACAATAGAAAGAGGATTAAAGGACCAATCTTTTGGAAAACTTTCCCTAAGCTTGTGTGAATTCTGATGGCAATCAGAAGCCTATAATAATAAATAGTAAGCCTCTTTCGAAAACTCTTCGCTTCTAGGGAGCTAAAGAATGCTTTAGAAATGGAAATCATATTCACTTTTTTTGATTCAGCTATGCCTGATATCTTAAAAAAAAAAAAAGGCTGTTTATGAAGGAAGACTGACTTCACTAAAATTGGTTTATGAAAATGGTGGGAGCCAAGATTTGAAACTTGGCAGAGAGGTGTGAGAAGTTTGTTCCTGTGTTGTGGTTGGGCATTCTACTAATTTAAAACAACAAAACACAAACCCACAAATGAAACAAAAGACACGAACATTTGTTATTGTGAAATCAGAAAACACATGAACTCCACGTGCAGCGAGTGTTCTCCCTCCCCACAGCCGCAGGTTGTGGTGGTGCTGAAAGCAGAGGCTGCTCCTCCTCTGCTCTCTCTGCTTCTCCTGGTAGCATCCAGGCACTTGGGAAGGGAGCCCTGTGGAAGGGGGCAGTGAAGGATGCAGAGATGTGGTGAACAGTAGGTAGCAGAAATGGAAGTACCTGGAAGGAACACACAGGGTGAGTGAACGGAAGAGGAAAGCCTGTAAAAGGAGAACAGGGCAGCAACAAGATGGAGGTAGCCTGAAGAAAAGTTATTGCCAGAGAGGAGCAGGGATGAAAGCTTGCTAGGAGCTTAAAAGGAATTATTGTTAAAAAAGAGTGGCTGGAGGTAGCTTGAAAAGATGCAGGCAATGAGGACAGCAGGTAAGAAGCATTTGAAGAGATGAGATGGAAATCAAAAGGGTCTGTATAACTGCCAGGACACCTAAAATAAGCTGGACTTGCATGCACTGTTTTTAAACCTTCCCATGGCATTCTTGTCAAGCAAGTGTCATCAGTGAGATTCTCAAGCAAGATGGATATTTCCTTTCATCTTATGCATGCATAGTGCATGAGTCTCTTGTATTTACAAATTGCTACTTGCTTATAATCACCCACTGGGACAATTCACCTTGTTAATATTTGATAGGGGAGGACTGAACAATGGTTCTCCAGGAATTTTGTTTTCTTCCCTACATGAAAGCTTGAAAAATTATAGGAAAATGCATATAAAAATTGTATTTGTGATGCAAAGTGAAGTATGGTTTGCTTGTTATGATACATCTGTCAACTTCTCATGTCATCCAGTGGGTAGAGCAGTACCCAAAACAAGATTAATTTTTCTCTGAAGTCCCCAAATGCATATGCTGTATAGTCCTCAGGAATGCTAACATTTTCTTGTCAGAAGCACTGTGTCACCGTCTTCTTATCAGATGAGCAGATGTTTGTTTTTGTGGTTGGTGATGGCCTGCACAGCTCTTCATCTTCTAACAACGATTTCACCTTGTCACATTGTTCAGTGTGAAATGCATGAAATGTGTCTAGATTGTGTTGAGTCAGATTTGCTGAAGGATTTGAATTTTGTTTGGGTAGAGCATTGACGGAAAAATGCTTTACCTGTTTTAATCAAATTCTCTTCTGGTTGTATTTATGGATCTTTTTACAAAGAACAGTCAATGAACCTCTCTTTTTCTCCTCCATTCCAAAGTTAATCAGATGTGCATATGTATGAATTACAATTGAGTTTCTTTGACTATTCCAAACCCAGTTTCCACCATTTATATTTCGGGGAATGCCTTATTTCTTAAAATCGAGTTTTATTTTGGGGCAGTCCCAACTGGTTTAAAACCAAAGCAGCAGAATACATTTCTAGGGCCACGAATGTAACACTTTAAAAATACTGATTACTGGTAAAGGTAAATGTTTAATGGAATTACTGTGTTGTGGCAAGGAAGAATATTGAGAATAGCCGAATGTCCAAGATTACATTATTTACATTTTTAGTAACAGATGGCTGAAGGATAAAAATATTTTTTTCTAGTGCAATACAATTCCAGTTTTCATGCTCTGCACTTTCGCTTCTAGAATATATTTGGATGAGATCAAAGAGGAAGAATACATACACCTGAAAGGGCTACACAGACACTAGGAAAAGATATTGGGATGAGCATTCAACTCACACCACTTGTCATACATTTATTCACATCAGTGGAGCTGGAAGTTGAAGTTGCAGAGGTTGAGGGTCTGCCCCAGAGTGTTAGTTATCTAGAGATGTTTAAGTCTGTGGATTCCTATTTTGGGTCTCATACGTAGAACAAAGTAATTACTTTCAGAGCTTTAACTGGACATTGAAATATCTTTTTCAGGTATGGTATTTTTGCTTCATGCATTTGAGTTAGGTGAGTCTTTAGATTACCAAACATTTATACAGCTGATGTCTTGACCTTTACTCATTAGAAACAAATCAATTTTGATGTTGGTGTTTGGTTTTTTTTTTTTGATTTATACAAATACACAATTACTTCTTGGTGTCAATTCAGTCTGAAGGGTAAGGTGCAAATCTTTTGATTATTGCTGAAGTTTTTAAAACCTGATTTTTATCCACAAGATTAGGGCTTTATTGCAGTAGGTATTTCTGAAGAACAGATGATGATGTACACATAAATGACTTTTTTCTTTTTTTTTCTTCTATTTTTACTCTCTTCTTTTTAGAGTTTTGAGGAGTTCATTATCCAAACAGCCACAGACCTTTCTTCATTTGCTGATTTTGGATTTTGCTTATATGCTTAGCTGAACTCCTTTACAGAACATTACCTTTTGGAGTCATTGGGGGAAAAAAGTTATATTGGTTTATGCTGGCATTTCCTAATTGTTATGACCCACCCCTGAAGGTGAGGTTAACTGAGGTTCTTGTTAATAGATTGCTTCATATATGGCAGGTTTATTTTAGAACAATTTGCAATAGAAAGGAGGTATGTAGCCATTTTGGTTATTATCTGTGGAAATGCAACAGTATAAAAGTATAAAGATATCACTTTAGAAAATATGTAAGAAAAAGAAAGAAAGAGAAGGAAAGGATAAGAGTAGATAGTGGAGAGGAAAAATATCACCACTTACGGATCCAGTGGCAAGACATGATTGTTGCAATTTAAATGTCTGTTGGTTGAAGTGATGGTTGCAGTCTTGATCTGTAGGAAAGCCCATGAAACACAGGGTTTAATATACGTCAGGTTCAGGTGGGACAGCCCAGGTGAGAGTTCCTGCTGTGTCCGAGCTGCTTCTGAGGCTTAAAAACTACACAGTTCTATGTAGAATCTAGGTGTGAAAACTTGCATATATGTATGTGTATGTAAAGAAGTTTGTTTGGGATTTTTGGCTGTGATGAACTGAATTCCTAAAGCATTCTAGCTCCACGTTTGCTTTAAGAGGAGGTGTATAAAAAATTCAGGACTGAATTTGTAGAGAGATATATCTTTGCTAATGCAGTTTTGTTGGTTTTGTGATTTAAATCGGCTAAGAAAAATAGTGATCTTAAGGGCATGAATTCTCTTAGTTTATAGAAAGAAAAGTATCCCTCTAATATTATTTTTAACATTTGACTAATTTAAGTGTTCTGCCAGAGTTCTTGATTATTTTTAAATAGTTATGAATTGCTTGCAGATTACCAGTTAGCTCAAATAATTGCTCAGTGATTTAGATAACTAAATGGAACTTCCTAAACCTTCTGCACTCTGAGAACCACTCAATCCCATCCTTTTTATTCCAGTAAAACTCCACTGCAAGCCAAAGAAAACTAAGTCTTATCAGAGTCAAGAGTTACAGATGTTGATGATTAGGTTCCATTCCATCACTTAGATCTTTAAAATAGCTTTTATTTATCGGTGTTTTCCATCTTCATTTTCCTTTTCCAGTACTCCACAAGCAGCCAAGAGAGGTGTGTCTTTGTTTGCTGGAGCTTGGAAGGATTGCAGCAAGGTAGGTGAAAATATTTAAAGCATGATGAAATATTTACATTCTTGACAGCAGTGGCTATTGAGAGACTTGATAAATCAGCACATCTCAAGTTAACTTCTCTGCTCATTAGGTTCAAGGAGAGTGGTTGTCTTGATGTCACTCAAGAATATCTTGAGGGCCATTGTTAACAAATATAATGAAATCTCTGTACCATCAGTTCAATGAAGGTATTTGTTGGACTATCCTTGTATTAGGAGAGGAAAGAATTGAATTTTTTTTTCTAAATAAAGCTTTGAGCTGTTTTTCCTTTTAACAGTCAGATCTCTCTATAAACAACTGCGATTTAATTAACTTTACTGGTAATAAATTGATCTTCACATGACCTAAATCTGACCTAGATGTCTGTAGCCATGCTGGACCTTCAGTACACTGTGTAATGTTATCTTTGATGTCAAGACAGCAGTGACTTTTGATAGACAGTCAAAACAACCGTAACTAGAACGTGATTTTCCCTTTTTGCAGATGCAGATTTAACCAACATAGTGCATAAAATTTGCTAAAAAATACATGAACAGCAGTGCTGCTGCCCGGTCTTGCATGTAAATTGCAGTCGTGCTCATCCATGTGTATCCAACTGGAGTGTCTCACTATTCAGATAGTTTCATTAATTTCAGGAGAATTCCTTGTGGTGACAATCAGTGTGGAGGAGACCCCTGTTTATTCCTAGCTTAAGAATTAATATTGGTCGTGTCATAATTGTGTTATGTGTGTCCATATTTTGGGAATGAACTCACATGGGAAACTGCTTAATTAGGCATTTGTTCCTTGGTCAGGTTTCAGAAAAGCCCTTGCTGTCAGCTTACACAGGAATAGCAATGACCAGAAGGATTTCTGGTTTTCCAGAATTTTGTTATCTCTGAAACTCGGATTCAGTCCAACATGGAAAAAACAAATCATTTTACCTTCCCGTGAATAAGAAAGTAGGTGTGTAATGAAATGGAGTGTAATGAGTCTTAATTTACCTGAGCAAAAAACTGTGCTTTCAAGACCCAGCTTGGAAAGAGAGCTACCAGCACCCAGCTGTCAGGAGTGTCTGCCCCAGGTAGATTCCTTGATAGTATCCAGCTTCCTCAGGGAATATATGTCAGTGGCAGTGTTGGATTCTGCTGAAGTGGGTTGAGTTAGATTTAATCTCCTTTTGCACTGAGACTTGATTTCTCAACAGATCTACAAGGGAATGAAAATTGAATCTTACCCTTTTATGTTCGTCTTAAGCTTCCATGTTCCAGATGTTTTCTGTTCCAAACCTGAAAAGAAACACTGAACAAATAAATAAACCATGTTTTCATTTATTATGCATTTCTACACCTTTGCCTTTAAAATATTTGTATTTTATTTTATATTTATATTATCATGTATCATGAATGTATTTTATATGTTGTGTTTGTGTTTCTGTATTTATGTTTCTATATTTTAATTTTGTTTATAGGTTAGGGGTCAAATAACATGTGTCTGTCTACTTGTTCCTGCTCTAGTATCTCTTCAGGAACAAACAAACACCCGTTTATAATCTTGCACATTTCAAAGGTGCACAAAAAAACTGTTGAAGTGGAACATCAGGTTAAACATAATTGAAAAACAAGTATGGGATCCCGATTTTGCCTGAGCTGAGGTAAATTAGAACTATATGGGAAAGGAGAATAATTGATGCTTGCCCCCGCTAAGTGTAGGAAAGCGGACATTAAACTGACATTGTCGTGCTGCTTTGAGGAGGAGAGAAGTCAAATGTCTGCTTGCTTTGTAAAGCAGATTGCGTCTGTTCGCACTCCTGGGGGTCTGCTTCCGACAACAGGAGCTGCAGAGATCTTTGAAAAGGTGCCTCGGTCTGTTTTTAAAGAACAAAAAGAGTAAGAGACACTGAAGAACTTTTTACTTTTCTCTTCCTTTTTTGTCTTGGAAGCAGAAAGATATGTTCAAAGTGGCTCACTCCTCACAAGGATTCAGCTTTTGGCACACTTTGCCCAGCTGGATAACTCTTAGTCTTCAGGGTCTGTAACTCCCATAAATCGACCTAAGCCTTTCTATTTAATGCAAATAGGCTTGTGATTGAGGCACAAATGAGCAAGAATGAGGATTGTTTGAGGAGGAGATAGAATGGAGCTCTGTTCTGCTAAACTTGAACCTATTCAACAGATACTCTGTGGAGGAAGGGAGAAAGGTGATAATTTACCTTTGCTTTAGCAATGCTGTTAGCATGTTATCTCTTAGTGTCCTTTTAGCCAAATTAGAGACAGATGGACTCGATGGATGGACTGCACAGTGAGTGGGAAACTGGTGTGACCACTTGGCTCAAAGAGTGGCAGTTCAAAGCCCAGATACTAATAAAAATAGGATTGCCTGATAAATTATCCTGGATTTCAGTTGTTTATGAAAACAAAATTCTGAGCTCATCTGCAAAATTTCAATAGCTAAAATGGGCCCTTGTGTGCACTGGCAGATGTCATGTGGATACAGTGAGAAGATTTATGAGAGAGGGAAGTGTCCTACAGGATAAAATTGACAATACACAGGACTGTTGCAGTGGGTTGCACAGGTCCAGCATTCTCCCAGAGTATTTGAAAGTCAGAGATTGTACAATGGAAAACAGCTAAATTATCTTTTCTGCATAAAAAATGAAGTTCTTGGGTAACTGTTAAACTCTGGGCGGTTAAACAACCCCCACAGGTATTTTGGAATTACTGTTGAGCAATTTCAAGATCTTTCTGCTATTGTATTCAATTTTACCTTACTAAAAATGGAAAGTGGTGCTCTAAGAAGTCTAGAGGAGATCGTGTTACAGTCCAGTGCTGCTTCATTTGTAGCTGTGAGAGGCCAGGCTGGAAAGGAGCACAAAAGGAAATTCTCAGCATACCTTCCCAAGCAGAATTTGCACCTCTACCCCTCACAGAAGAGATGTGGGTTTTACACTTTGAGCTTTCCAGCAACTTTGCTTCAGGTTGATTCAGTACGTGGAAAAAAAATGCCTGCGTGTTTATGAATCGATTTTATTTTCCAACTTTTCACCAGAGGAATTCAGAATACTGGAAGCACAGGGAGCTTTAAAAATCTGTCCCAAAGACAGAAAGTGGAATTTATGAAAAGCAGTAGAAGCAAAGAAGCAGCATTGCTTGGAGTGAAAGAGTTTTATTTGATGAGTAAGGCTGTATGCAGGAGCAGGCTTAGAGCCCAGTAGGAATTTAATGATTTACAGCCTGTCAGCATCTGCAGACAGACAGGAAGTCAATGGATTGTATATAAGTGCTTGCCTCAGTGTTGGCTGACTTTTCATTAGGGAGACTGCACCAGTTAGAGGCCAATACAAGCACAGATTTGGTTCTTAGTTTCCTTTATATTAATTTACTAAGCAGTGTGACTAAATTAAATGTTATCAGAAAACCAGGAAAGCTGGTATATGTGCTTGTGCCTTTTCTCTGTACACTTCTAACATTATTGTGGTATTTAGCTTAGATTTTCATGATACATATTTGTTACTGCCCAATATTTTAGTGTCCAAATCTTTACCTAGATAAGTCAGTATAGTTCTGCATCTGGGCTATGGACATTTCTGCTACAGAAGAAAGTATGGTTTCATTTATTCAAGTAATTTGCCATAAGAAGTCTACCTGGCATGATAACTTTTCCAGGCTAAAATCCTTCTCTGAAAAAAGAACTCTCTCCATTTTTCTGGGTTTTGTTCAGTGTTGGCAAATAAAATAAAATAAAAGGGAATTTTCAGTGATTAGGAAAATGGGATGGGCTTTCAAACTTCTGAGATGTAAAAGCTCTGCTGCTTGCTGTGAGACTGACTCAATCACTTGCCATAAAGCTTTCAAAAGCTCTTTAAAAAAGAGCCTTGCTCTCCAAGGGCTCTGAGTTGCTCCATGCTGAAGTTCCACGTATTTGGTTTTAGCTGGATCTTAAAGTCTGTGGCTGCTGTAAACTGAGATCTGAAGATTGCCTGTCAAAAATCAGGTAGAAAAAGCAATAGCCAATTTTGAAAAATAGTGGCCATATCTCTGTTTATTTATCCATAAATTTAGTGCAATAGCTGAGAGCAGGATGAGCCTTAATCCCTTTTCATCTGGATTTCTTCGAAAAATACTAACACAAAATATAAGTTGTCAAGTAATTTGAAAGGATGTTGTTTGGAAAGAAAAGAAAAACTAAAAAAAAAAAAGGCAAATGTGCTGAGCTTGATTCTGTCCTGTATGGTATAGCAATTTTGAGGTCTAGTGTTGTTCATAAACTAGTTATTCACCAACATATATGTGATCAGACAGAGAAGTTGAAAAAACCCTGTATTTCCTGTAAATTTGATTAACTGAGAGACTCCATCTAAATTCATTTTCTCTATTAATTTGAAACAACGGCAGTAGTGATTGATGTATTTTATACATGTTTATTAATGAATGTACCATTCTGTTATTGCACGGTAGTGCAATACAGAAGGTAGAAATCCTTTCCACCATTTTGTTTTGAAATATGCAGTACTTTATGCTAACTAGTAATATATTATTTGCATGTTTCCAAAAGGTTTGGGGTGGAGCCTCCTGGATTAATAAAGTTAGAAAAAGAAATTGAACAAGAGGAAACACTTTCAGCTCCCCTTCCCTCTCCTTCACCGTCACCAACGAAGTCTCCTGGGAAAAAGAGCACAGGGAAACTGTTGGATGATGCTGTAAGTTGTGGGGGGAAGCTTCTTCCTATCTGGTCTGTTCTGATATGCACTTACTTGCAAAGCACACACAACCCTGAGTTTAACATTCCACTGCATTTTGAACGTTTGCAGGCTGATAGGGTTAATTTGTTTTTTTACCACAATTATTTATGTCAGAAGCTTGAAAAAAACCCCAACTCCTCACACTGTGTAGGATCTCTGCAGCTTAGCCTAGCTTTGTGCTTGGGGGCCACGTTCCCTTCTTATTGCTCCTTTACTTCTTATTCATCAACTCCCACTTTGGTGCTTTGTCTGAGGAAGGACTGAGTCAGGACTAGGAGATCTGGCTTCTACGGACTTGTATTGAATGTTAACAAACACTTCTAAGATGTTTCAGCCTAATTTTTATGCTGCTGTTCTGCATGTTTCTCACATAGTAAAAAAACCAAGCATTGTTTTCCTCGTTGTTAGAACAAAAGCATCTTGTTTTGAATTTCATTAAGCTCATTGCAGCATACTGAGTGTTCATTTCTCTGCTGCAGACCCATAGGGGTTCATTTGAAACAGCTGGATTCAGATGAAAAGGACACATTTTGAGACCATGAAGAGGTTAAACTTGAAAAGTACAAATCTAGCCTGTAAAAAGAAGCAGTTACCATAGTAACTGCTACATTGTGAGGTGGATGTGCCACCTGGGAGTTACAAAGCACTTCTTGAAAAATCCATGTGCCACTTTCCTGTTACAAAGAGCAGATGGAATATAATGTTCGTTCATTTTATTGAAACACTCTTTTTTTTTTTTCTTTGATGCATATAATTACATTTAAAATTTTTTGGTTTGTATTTCTTCCTTAACTTTGCGAAAGCACTCATGTTTCAGCAGAATTGAGAAAGAACAGTTCTGTGTAGAAGAAGCATGGTGACTGCATATCTTGTAGAAACAGAGCAGAGAGTATGAAGGTTGTCTCTAACCACCTCCTTTAATTTAGAAAGCAGTGGGGATAGAAACAGAATGGAATTCATCCAGCTAGATTCCTGACCCACGCTGCCCCAGACACTCACACCATAAAATAGCAGCAGTGCTCGTATAGTCCAGACACAAAATAAAATAGAATATAATTCTTCCCCCTGCTTCCTTATTTGATTTCCAAATTCCACTCAATAATACTCCTCTGTCCTTTGGGATAGTAAGGCAATGGAAGCCCCAATAGCAGGATCAGCAGTGAAGGTCTTATTATTCTCTGTTTCACACCGGTATAAATCTCTTTGCTTTCATTCTCCAGAGGCTGAAGAACGCTCTACTTTGCTTACACAGTTCAAAACAGCCTTGAGCCCGTTAGGCTCAGCTACTCCAGGTTTTTGCTTGCTTAGATGAACTCTGATAGGTGCAGCATTAAGGCGTGGTTCATACTATCTATTTGCAGCTTCGAATTTCAAGGGTCTCCAGAGGTGATAAACGCCACGTGGTGTTGGGGCAGAAATCCCCGATAATTGAACAGTATTCAGAGGCCCATTGCCAAACAGGTCCCTCAGCACGATCTAGCCTTAGTACTGCGTTCCAAGAAATACAGCAATACACCTTTTTCACCCTCAGCAACCTGCACTTGGATTTAAATCCTCAACCGCCGACCTCATGCGAGTTGTTCCTGTTGTACATTGGCTGTCTAAGTAGTTTGATTCACCAGAACTGGTGAACTCTCACCCATGTTTATAAGATCACTTGAATAACTAATTTTAAAATTCAAATTGTGATTCATTCAAACCGAGGACAACTCATCTGATACCCGAGAAACACTTTTTTTGGTGTGTGTGTAAAATACATGTAGAGTTCCTCTGCTAAGTGTTATTTTAATTTATTTTCTTTTTCACAAAAATATTATGCCCTGATTTAAAAAACAAAAGAAAACAAAAGCATTAGGAACAAGAAAAACCTCCACAAAAGAATACAGTTATTCAGATAACAGCACTGAATAATTTCAGAAATAATTGGAAAGCCTTTAAATCACTCAGTAGGGCTGATTTCAATAGCACAGAAACAATAGTTGCCTACCTTTTATGTTTTTTCTGGCTTATTTGACATACTGTAACTTAATTCTTAAAGCAAGTCTGAAAAACATTTGTAGTTCAGAACCCTTTCATGTTGATCTATTCACAGTAATCAAAACACCTATCATGTTGATCTATTCACAGTAATCAAAACACCTATCAGAGTGCCATAGCTTTGCCCAGATATTTTTTCTTGTTATGAAACAATGTAAGACTTTAATTTTTCAGCTGTTCTGACAATATCCTTCCCTGGACCCCAGGGAATTAAATTACCCTTTAAATTACCCTTGATTGCACTGTGCCCTTAATGGGGACATCATCAAAGGGTAGCTGGAAATTCTGGGGAGTGTCTTGGCCTGAATTTATGATTATGTTACAGTATTTTCTGTATATTTTTTTTTAAGGTGTTAGTGCAAAATTTGAAAGAGGCAGGGCCTCTTATGGATGAGGAAGATGCTTCTGTATTTATTATAAATATTTAGAAGAGAGAATGCATCTTTATGACATCTTCCTTTTGCCTGTTAGCCTTACCAGCACTTTGAGCTGATTCACCATAAAATACTGAGAACATATCTACAAGAGTTTGGTCCTGAACTCAATGTAAGGAACTGTTTGGCTTCAGTTAAACAGAACAAATTTAATGTTGAACTGTGTGATGTTCATCTCCATTTTTAACTCATCACAGCTATTAAATAATTGTTGATATTGGAAGCACCATAGGGTGCTTTCTAGGATTACAGAAATATTAAGAAAATTAAGAAAAACTGAGAAAAATATCATCAATTAAGACTTAAGTTATAGATATGACAAATGTCTTAATGAATATTTTACTACACGTGCTATTTTAAACAGTTTCTGTTAATAACTTCTGTGTTTCCCAGGTTAAACACATTTCTGAGGATCCACCTTGTAAATGCCCTAATAAGTTCTGCGTGGAGCGTCTTTCACAGGGAAGATACAGAGTTGGAGAGAAGATCCTCTTTATTAGGGTAAAGGTTTTATTTTTACTTTGTAGTGAGTTGCTAGTGTCTGCTACCTTCCACTTTGAAAATTACATCACTGATTAAGAGGAGAAAGTATTTTGTTGTTACCAGCACTGACTCATTTTTAGGACACAATTGGGGAATAAATAAACTACAGCATGTTAGCTGAGCCAAGGAACTGTTAATATGTGGTAGATCCTTCTGACTTCAGGTCATTGAATTTGCTCTCTCTTTGATAAATGGAAACCAAAAGAAAAGTCTTCAGAAATGGACATGATGACTTCCTCTCAGTTTGTCTTGAAAGAACAGCCACTGCATTAAAACAATCTTTCTTCCACTTTGTTTTGGCTGATACTATTTGACAGGTCAGGAAACAGATCAAAGGCTTCATGATCATTGAGTTGCCAAGTCATGACTAAGATATATTGCTCGAGCAGGATGAGCAAAACATTAATGTCCATAGTACTTAATTTGATTAACAGATATTTCCAAACCCAGACTTGTATTTCAGACTTTGTATGTAGAGTATTAATTCCCGTAGCACAAAGTTAATCATTAGTATAAATATTTGCTAGCATTACTAGCTGGCAGAATTTATCACAGCTATGCTTTCCAAACTTAATTTTGATCCTCCTAATCTCCGTTTATGTCTGTGGTAATAATGATTGAAAATACGCTAATGTTGCTATTCCGTAGTAATATGTCTTGTGCTCTGCTTCTTTCCATTTTCCTCTCCACATGCACTATTCTTGAGCCACGACTTGACACAGGGATAGCTCTTGCTCTCAAATAACTGTTATCCCTGTTTTGCTAAAGGCACATAACTGTGGCCTGATAAAACTGAAGATTTAGCACCTATGAGAACGAAAGAAGTCAGAGGGACTCCTTCCCATCTGTAGAAGTCAAGCTCCTAGCTCAACAAAACATGTTGGGTCATAAACTTATGCTTAACATAACTTGCAGTGAGGTCAAATCTAGATAAGGATTTGGGTTTTCTCAGGGGTGTGAAGTTGAGAACACATGTAAGTACTGTGCTGAAAAAGGAGTGAGAACTCCCAGTTAACTCAGTAATAGGTCAGAAAGAAGAAGAAATAAAGGATTTGTTAAATCTCGCAGATAGTCTGAGATTTAAAGGATTTATAGCTTTTCTGGTTCTTAGCCAGTGAGACTTTTTTTTTTTTAATTCTGCAGTATATTTAAGTACTGGCTTTATTACTAGGTTCAAATGACTGAAGAAGGTAATGATCATTAACCAAAGACCTCAGTAATCTGGCACAGTTTAACACTTACATTTTCTTCCTTTCGATTTTAATTTCAAAAAACAGCATCAAAGTATTTTTAATCTTCTAGTTTTGAGAAATTTGAGTTTTGCCAGAATGGTGAGTGTCAAATTCTCTTTCGCTGGCTTCTTTATTTTGTGGTCTAGTCCATGCCATATTTCATTCCAAGTTTGCAAACAACACCTTTTTCATATCATGCTGCCACATTCCAAATTGAATTGTGAGAAAAAAAAAACAAAAAAACCAGTAATACAGATTAGATATTAAACTACAGTATTAGAGGTCATTCCTGCCAAACTGATATTAATGGAAACTTGCCATGAATTTTGGTGGAAGCAAGTCCCTGTTCCTTAGTTTTAAAAGACAATTGTCTTTTGGTTTTGGTTGGTTTGAACCTCGTTTTGGAACTCTTCACTGGATCACAGTAAGTTTTTTGCTCTTCCTTCTACATGTTCTTATCGTGTACAGGAGCAGATTTATTAGCCTTCCTTTGGAATCCTGTGGACACTTGTGAAAAGGCACACTTGAGATGTGTAGCTGACTTTTAATTTTGTTGATATTTGGCCACCCTATTTGGTGCCCCTGAGATGGTTCCTCCTATATGTTCTTTACACAGCACGACACAAAACTGTATTATTAGTCTATTAGCTTTCTCCACTAACCTCTACAGGACTTAAAACCTATGTAATTTCAGTGATTCTACAAGTATGCCATGTGTAGGAGTTGACATCTATTCACTGATGATTAAGATTGTGGGGTTTTCTTTTCAGAAATTATTTAATAATATTATATGTGTAAAAATTGTGTTCCAGTTCTGCAAGTTCTGCTAAAAAAAAACCCCAAACAATCAAACAAACAAAAGCAGGAGAAAAAGTGTCCCAAGTACATCTTTTTTTTAATTTATGTCTGTATATGAAACAAGTGAAAAAGGAACAGCAAAGAAAAATAAAATGTGGCAGAACATAGATTTCACACAAAAAAATCACAGAAAACAAGTTACATGTGTCAATCTAATTCTAAGGAGAAAGACCCTTTGGAATATGTAGCAAAACAGAGGGGGGACAGTCCTTCAGAATTTCTCTTGTATCATAGTAACTTCTTAAGGTAATGGTCCCATTAAAATTGCTAGAGTATTTTTTTAACATGGGAAAATATTTAAATTGCAAAAAACCCTTGTGAATCTGCGAACTAATGGAATAATGGAAATCCATGAAAACAATAAGATGCTTAAATCTCTTGATACAAATGCATGTCCCAAAAGCAGTTCTTTATGCATGCATAATCATGTTCAGTTTATGCATTATAATTCTGTAAGTTATAAACTGAACACCATTATCATAATGCTGTGGTGGCTTAGATGCTAAAAATTTATTTTGCATAAAAATTTATCTGCTTGTGAGTTCTTTTTCCTTCCTCCAAAACAGAAGTGAAAGAATCTAAATTCTACTCAAACAAACAGAATGGAAGACATGTTTTACAGTAATGGATTATGTTAATAACCTCAGATAAATGAAATGTCCAGCTTATTTAAAACTGAAACATTGGTTTACAATTAGTGGGATCTCTGTATATGTACCATATACAATTAATTATTTCCCTGTTTACTCTCACATCCTACCATTATGCCTTAATCTTTCAAATTGGAACTGAATTAGTAAGCCTATTTTTAAAATTAAGAATAACAAGGTATGAAAACTTGAACAAATATATGTTTTATAACTTGGGAAAGAGACTCATAGAGTCTGAAATGGTTACTACTTGCAGAAGGCAGCACAGGAGTGATTTAGATTAACAGAGATTTTTATAGCAAGAAATGTCAGTCACACCTTTAAAAAAAAGTACTTTTTTCAACAGTTTCAGTGACAAGAATTCTTATTTCTGGTTATCTCATGTTTGTTACGTTGTATAGGTGTAAGTATAAACACTTCCCACAAACTAGCAAGTTTCTCTCAGAAACATCTGTTGTGACAACAATCAAATCCTTGGGTTCTGCACCAAAATTAGTGAAAAATTATTTCTTTGTGCAACTAGAATCACAGTAGATGATATAATGCAGCCTGGCTTTAAAGCTTCTCATTTTTCCCAGATAGATGTAATTTATCTTGAAGGCCAGTTGATAAGGATGTGGTTGCTCTTACATGTACTTCTAATAATTAATATCACTTAGCATTATTTTGCTATGGTAGTAATAAAATGTTTGTTCAATGCTTTTTTTTTTTTTTTTACCTTCTAAATCCCAGGAAATGAGAGGTGTTATTTATCTGCTACAGCACCTGTGTAGAAACTTTATTTTGGGATTTACTAACACGTGTGTGTAATATCTATGTTTATATATATAATAGCACTCTGCAGACAGTCTGTTGTGCACTATTGCCTCTTCCTGGTGAGAAAAATGTACTTGTGTATAAACACAGAAGCACATTTGACTCCAAACCATCCAGGTAGGGAGGATATATCGTATAAGAACTGGAAATGAGAAGAAATAGAAAGCAGATTTGGCTATACAGTTCTCAAGAACTCAAATGTCTTGTTCTGCCTTTCCAATCTGAATACATAAGTTGTATTCATAGGTTTTGCTTTGTGTGCTTCTGTCTTTTGGGATTTTTTCTTCAGCATCACTTTCCTGGCTTTTTTCTCTTCCTTATTCCAAAGATTTTAACATCTGTTCTGCTTTTCCCAGGCCCATTGACTTCCAGTCTGCAAAATAGTTTACCATTTTAGCAGTGAAATTCCTTCCTTAAGCTTTATCCATAGCGAATACCTTTCAAGGGTGTCTAAAAAGTCAAAATCATAGGCAGATGGGGAGTTTTAATGAAGGTAACTCCAAGGGAGATGTAGTGGGATGCCTGGGATCTTGTGAGTGAATTCTGAAAACACATTGGCTTTCTTTGGCTTCTAATCTCAGTTCTCCTGAGATTCTCTCAATTCAAGAATGCAAAAGATCTTGGGAAAGACGTGCCTAAAGTCCAACCCTAATTGATGCCCCGAATGTAAGGTGGTTTTGGAGACCTTTCAGCTGGACACTTTACTATGTGCCAGTTCCTCTCCAGCAGCTTTGCACTCACAGAGTAGGTGGCACATTTCAGTCTTACTTGTGGAGTTCTTCTCAGCTTTCTCAGGTTTTGTTTGTTGTTTAAAAAAAAAAAAAAAAAAGGCCTTAAAGGGCCAGTAAAATTCACTCCACAAGACTCAAAAGCTCGTGGACAAACAGGGATACAGAACATGTCAGTGGGGTGACCAGAGTTAAATGCTGCCTGTAGAAGGGTCAGGAAATCTATTTTCTTTTATACTCTGACATTACTCTGTTGACACTGGGCAGACCCTGCCCTCCCCCAGCTTAAGTTGCAGCTTGCTTGTTCTTACAGTTGCACTTTCTGTCCTGTCTCTCCCTTCTTTTCTTAATTTTTTTTGCCCCTTCCTGCCTCGAGCTTTTCTTACTCAGATTTAGAAGCTTCTGTGGAGCCAGAAGCCCATGGACATCTCTTTGATCACTTTGTACTTGGGGATGCTGTCTTTGCACTCAATACAAGAGCAGCTACAGCTCCATTTTTGGGTTCTGTGAAGCCTTGACATTTCTAGTTAAATGGTTGACAGACTTTCACTGAGGGTAGGCCAAAAAATAAAGTGCCAGAAATTAAATAAATATTAGTTTGCCCATCTTGGTTTAGTTTTCTATATTTTTTTTCATTGATATGCTGCATTTGTGTGGCCATTCATGTTAATTAT